CCGGTGCTGGCCACTGTCGGCAGACAGGCTACTGGCCTAGATGGACCTTTGGTCTGACCTAGTATGGCCGTTCTTATGTCACAGCACAAGAGCCAAGGATTCTCGGTATGGGGCGGGGGAGCGGTCTGGCTGCACAGGGGCTTGGCATACAGGGGAGCAGCTCCCCATACAGTGACCTCTCCCCTTGTGGCTTAGGAACAGAGTTGCCAATGCGGGGAGGGGCAAAGGAGACAATTGTCCTGGGGCCCAGCTATTTAAAAAGGCCTGGGGCTCCTGGCCACCACTGCTATTACTATGGCAATGGAGACTGTGGCCCTGGGCCCTTTAAATTGCCACAAGAACCCTGTGTAGTGTGCACCCAGCAGTGAAGAAGAGCTGGCTGCTGGAGGCTAGCCCTCAGCACCGCTCCTTATGCTTGAGGCTCTGCCCCTTTGGGGGCCCAGAACCAGTTGCCCCTTTCCCTCATCCCAGGCCTGGTGAAGTCTGTCCTCAGCCCTACTGAGGAGCAATGGGGGCAGGAACTGACAACTAGAGATGAAACTTCTTGCAGTCAGGGAAGGATTCTGAGGGTGGCTCTGGACCCAGCTCTGGCCCCTCCTTCCAGGGACCCCTCCTTCTTCTCCCACACAAGTCCAGCTGGGTGCAAATCCAGTGCAAGATAGGAGCCACCAGTTGGGGCATCCCCAGCTTTCCCACCTCCCAATGATTTACCTCTCCACTGACTGTGTTGGGTGCCTGAAATAATATGCCCACACTGCTCTCTCTCTCTCTCTCGGCCTATTGAATTACTGCTTCAGAAGGAACAAAGGAAGTAGCTATTGAAGTGGTGAAGGAGTCTCAGCCTAAGAAGTTTGATGAGAAACTGAATGTGTGGGGAGAGAAAACCTTTGCTTTTAATTTAACACACTTTATTAAGTTAGGCACTTAAGTTGTTTCCATTTTTGACCCTTATGCCTCATAACTTGCACTCAATTAAAATATCTTTGTAGTTAATAAACTTAGTTTATTGTTATATCTAATCCTGTGGATTTTAATTGAAATGCCAAGGAAACTCCATTTGGGATAACAGGCTGTGTGCACATAATTTCTATTCATAAAATTACCAATTTTATATAAAGTTGTATTGTCCAGGAGATATTTGGCTGTACAGTACATTTTGGGGGTTAGGAGAAGAACCTAAGATTGGGAGCGTACTGGTCACTGTGCAATATAACCAAAGCATGGAAAGCCAAGGTGTGGCTCATCGGCTCCAGTACACAGACAAACATAGCTAGGAGTCACTTGTATACTGGAGGCTGCTTGTGGATCATCCAGACTAGAGGCTATAGCAGAAAAGCAGTATAAAGGGTACACCCCAGGCTATTCGGCAGGTGTGACAAAGCTACTCATTAGTCTGGATTGTACCAGGGGTATGTCACAGAGTATAACATGGACCACCCACAAAACGGTCACAAAACAAAAGCAACTGAAACACTCAAGAGGCTTTGGCCAGTCAGGAAGGAAAAGGGTGTGCCCCGCCCTTTAGAGTAGCTTAGTTTCCACCAACTAGGAAGGGAAAGGACATACCCTACCCCTCTAGTAGCTCTTCCCAGCCACTATTCACTGTTCTTATATTCCTTCCAGGAGCTCACAGCCATCTCCAGCCAAGATTTACCCGTACCCAGTTCCTGCTTTCTGCACTCCTCCCTTTTGGGCCTTTTGCCTAGCAGGTGTGGAGAATCTCCTATCAGTTGCTTCTCTGGCCTTAGGTCTCCCTTCTCTGCCTAAGAGCCAGAAAGCTTTATGTGTGATTTCCTGTGCAGCACACAACTACATAGTGACATAGGACTGGAAGAGACCTCCTGGATCACTGTCCCCTGAAATCCGTGGGCATCCCCATCATATAATCTGGATCATAAATTTATCAAGATCCATCTTAAAACTAGTAAGTTTATTTGACCCCATAATTTCTACTACGGGCCGTTTCACTCATTTGATGGATAGAAATCTTTTAGTTTCCAACCTAAATTTGTTCCTGGCCCTTTCCTAGCCATTTGTTTTTGTGCCAACATTGTCCTTTAGTTTAAATAGCTCTTCTCCCTCCCAATTTATTTACAGTGAGCTATTATATCCCATCTAGGAAAGCAGGCATGTGAATTTCAACTATAGCTCCCAGCTTTTAAAGGTCCAAGGGCCAGAGCATACAAACTGGGTCACATGCATGCCCCCCAAAGGCCAGTCCCCTCCTGCTCATCCCTTTTTAATAATTGTGGCCATTGATTGTACAACATATTTCTGGGTTTCACTGCTGTGTATGATACAATTGTCATGCCATGCTATGGGCTACCCGTAAGTAATTGTAGGAGAAAAAATAGCTATCAACAC